GTGGAGGAAAAGGCAAAACACAGACATTGCTATGGATAACATGAGCAGAAAGTCTGCTAGAGAGGACATTTGGGATCAAATCTCTGATGTATACTATCATATTCTTTTATTGCCTTTCCTATATATAAATAAAGGAAATTAAGTAATTCAAGATATAGACTTAGTGTCTTATTGCAGTTCTCGCAGCTATTGGGCTGATGGGTCAAAAAAGAGATGGGGAAGCTGATGCCAGATGAGCATCCAACTTCGCAGATGTGGACAATCCTGCAGAGAGGTGGCTTGGAAGAGGAGAGCAGGCAGAGTTGGAATGGGGATCCCAGCCCACAGCTGGGTGCCTTCTGACAGAAGATCACAATTCTAATAGTGGAGTCTTGCAAATGAGCAGTGGAGTGTGTTTGTTGCCTTTAAGTCAGATAGACTCAAGGCAGTGCTAAGAGGGAATAAATATGGACCCAAAGCTTAAGTTTCCCAGAAAGTACAGTGTTTCCTGGTTTTATTAACAGACTTCTATTTACCTCCTGTTCAAAGAGGTTGCCAAAAGTTTTCCTGTTGCCTTTATGCTAGCTCCTTTCTTTGTGCTGGAGTGTCACCTGGAGGCATTTTCTGGGCCGTGTGCTGTAAGGTGCTTTTGTAGGAGACTGTCTTTCCTTGATGAGATCTTAATCTAAATAATGAAGGCAGATAGTCAAACCAACATGGAAAATGGAGAGGCTGTATCATAGTCATGCTCTTCCCTGAATATGTCTTTTTTTCCCCCAAGACATTCTGAGATGAGCAGAGGCAAACAGCATGCAGTGCTCAGCATGGATAGCAACCTGGAGAGTTTCAGTGATGTAATGAGGTTGTTTGGTTTAGTCCCTGTTCATTTCTTGTAATTATTAACATTGGACTTCTCTTTTGGACTCAGCCAATCCCACTATGTCATTGATGAAGATACTAAATAGTATTGGTCCTAGTTTGAATCCTTGAGGGACACCACTCATTGCTGATTTTCATTTGGACACTGAGTCATTGACTATAACTCTTCTGATGCAGCCATCCAGGCAATTCCTTATCCATCTAATGGTCCAGCCATTCATCAAACCCATCTTTTTCCAATTCAGGGGTAAGAATGTTACAGGGAACCATATTAAAGGCCTCACAGAACTCCAGTATGGCACGAGTATGGTATATTACTGTGTGCTACAACAATTATAGTATATACTGCATTACTAGCATTAGTAATGCCAGTGATATTTGCATATTGTATATTGATAAAGTATATGCTATAATATATGTGATAGTATGGCCTGTAGTGTCTGTCACACATGCCTTTGGTCAAGGAGAACCCAGAGGGGAGTCCTCAGCTCTTGGTTTGGGATCCCAGATGTGCTGCAGATGTGAGGTGATGCTACTCTTGTCTAAAAAAGAGTGTTACAGGGACTGTGCTTATGGACTTATCTTTCCACGAGTGTCTTTTTAGGAAAAGTACATAGAAGTGCCTTGAAGGAGAAGGTTGAACTTTTAACTCTGGGGAAAGGATTTGTCCTTATGCTTATGTTCTATGGGTGATTTGGGGCTCACAGGTGTCGAGCTGCTGATGGGTGGGGAAGGCAGCACTTGTCCTCACTCTGCACACACTAAAGCAGACATATAGTAGGAAATTCAGTTTAGCAGCTGGGAAACACATGGTTTGGGTTCTGGTATCAGAAAACCCCCTAGCTGCATCCTAAAGGTCCTCATTACCCAGACAGGACAACTTGAAGCTGTAGGAGACACTTGGTGACATGCTGAGAAGATGCTCTGAAAACTTTAAAGGTGCTACATCATTGAACTTGATCTGCTCTTCTCATGATTTCCCCCCTTCTTTCCCCACTCTGAATCCATGCTGGGAATCACCAGTGAGAGATGTCTTTTTTATTGTCATTCTTTTATTTTCCCATTGTTTTCCCGTTGCATATACAGTACTTAAAAATGAGATCACCTTCACGTCAGGCATGTACCATGTTTATTAACAGCAAAAAAAGTATTATCTAGGCTTCACTCAAGACCGATTTACAGGATAAATAATTGTTTCAAATTACCTTTAAAAAAACCAAACAACAAACCCCCAAAGAATAAATTAATAACTTAAGTGATTAGCTGTCCACAGTGATTTGAAAACTTAATAACCATTCAAACAGTGACACCACAAGAAGACACATACTGTACAGTTTGCCACAAATTACTCTTTTCCTTCCTTCTACAAATGGAAATCAAAAAATTAAAAATACTCCTCTTTAAGAACAGTCATAGGCTTTGAAACACACAAAACGTCCCTGCGAATTGGCTGCCGATGCAACAGCTTCACAGCCGGGGCTCCGACCCCTCCTCGCAGCAGGTTAAGAGACAAATGGAGAAAACTACCCTAATTTGGCTGCGTCTGCTCCCACGCAACGATGCCCAAAGTCAGAGGGGACATGCTGACTTTGTCAAGGGCTGGGTTGAGAGGGATATAACTACTCTAAAGGTTTGATCCTAACCCTAAGGAACTCTTCAACAGGCTCCCTGTAGAGCCCAGGGTCCTGCTCCCTTCCTCTGTCTGAGACGTGCTTCAACCACCACGTCCAAAGGGACCAGCTGGCCATGGGTTGGAAGGAGGGTAGCTGTTTGGTGGCACCTTGCTACATATCAACTACTGAATTAACAACCTGATCAACAGTACAGCACTAGGAGTTGTGAACAAGGAGATAAAATTGTGACTACAACGATGGGACACCAAGGAGAAATCATAACCCAAAGGTGCGTGTCTCTACCTGCAAGAACCTCATTAACAGCTAAAAGATCATTGCATCCATGTGGGCAGGTTTGGCAGAGAAGAGAGGCACACAGACTCATCAGGGGCCTAAATTGGTTTATTGGCCCTTGTGAGTTGATGCTGGACTGGTCCCTCTGATTTTCTTGACAGTTCTTTGATGTCCATGCATGTTCTCTGACTGATGTGAGGGTTAGGCTTTGCTCTTCCCCCTTCCCGTTACAAGTGGGGCTTCTCCATAATCACAGCCCCACTGTACCCATCTCATCCAGACAGCATCTCTTCAATGGGGCACATAGTGCAGATGACTGTCAACTTTTACATGGAATGGAACTTTTACATCATCAGGTGGGAAAACATCAACACAATGCAAGCATGACTTGAGAAAACCATTCTCTTGCTCGCCTCCTAGGCCAGAAAGATCAGACAGGACCTGGGAACTATTTTAACATCTTTCTACTGAAGTCCCGGGTCTCAGCGTTGACAGCGCTGCGGTTTAGCCACTGCACCACCAGGGGCACTTAGGACACTCCCCGGGCAGATGGAGCTCGTTAGCCCTGTAAGGCAATCCATCTACGTCCTGAGGACCTCGCTGCCACCGTCCAAGCTCGCTTGGCCCCGGCAGATGAACCTCAGGATTAAAGGGTGGGCTCAGTTCCGCGCACACTGTGTCTCACCTAAAAAATCCAATGCGCAGGCTGGAAGGTGTAAAGACCTTCCCCGGCTCTTCGTTCGCAAAGACTGGCCAACCTACCT